GGTGGCTTTGGCAGCTCCAGAGGTTTTCCAGGCTGGATGGACATGGTGGCTTTGGCTGCTCCAGAGGTTCTCTGGCCTTCAGCCATCCCAGCCCTGTGGCTGTGGATGCAGGCAGCAGACAATTCCAACTGGGGAAGCAGCAATGTTCCCCACACCAGTCCAAGTGCTCAGCATGGCTGGGAATGTGACAGCTTTGTCCTGGAAAATGCAAAGCTGAAGGAGTTTGAACTTGAGCACAGAACAAAGAGTCTGTGCAGTGGGCTTAGTTTTGGGGTGGTTTTTGTTTGTTTGGATTTCTTTGTTGGCTTCTACTTAAATTGTTTCTGGGACAGACTGGAAGGGCAATGTCCAGAATCCCAGTGCTCACCACCCAGCACAAAGCCACAGGCACACAGTGCTGTTCAAGAAAGTTGGGCATTCTCTCAGTTCTAAAACTTCCCTTTATAATGACTGAGTGTGCTGCACTTTATGGGAAGAGTTTACTGAAAAATTGCAGCTTTTGACTGTAAACCTTTGACTTTTGTCCTGCAGAAGCTGGAAACCGACAATGTCTTGCTGAAGAAGGATTTGGCTTTTAAGGATTCTCAAGTAAAAGAATATGAAACAATGCTGGCTTCTCTGAGGGAGAACAACCGTCAGCAGCAGGTGAATGGAGAAACATTTTCAGTGTCATTCCAGGCAGCCAAAATGGGGCAGTTTGCTGACTTTTGGGTACTCTGAATACCTGCTGTGTGTGTGATGCTGTTCCCCCTGTGCTTTCAGCAAGGGCTGAGGGACAGCACTGCCAGATGCCGCTCGCTGGAGGAACAGCTGCTGTCCCTGCGGCTCAGCGAGGGGGACAAGGACTGCCAGCTCAAGGAGCTGGAGTACAGCAAGAGGGCCCTGGAGCAGGAGATCCAGAGCCTCAAGCTGCAGGTGAGGGCTCACCTGGCTGGGTGCAATAGCTGAGTCCCAGACTCAGAGGGATCAGTGTAGCAAAACCAATGATGAAAACTCTGTTTGTGAAATAAAAATGGGGTTTTTTTGCTGCAGAGCTGCTCCAGCCCAAGCCTGCAGACCACGACAGATGAGCTCTCGAGCCGCTACGTGGAGATGATCAACAACCTGAGGGAGGACAAGGACAGGGAGATCCGCAGCCTCAGGGTAAGGGGCTCTGCTGGCACTGCCTGGGTGCAGTTACAGCAGCACACTTCTACCACTGACACTTCTTGGTGTCTTCTGCTTGTGCAGTTACTTTACTCATAGGCACTGGTGATGGTTTGAAACCTTTATAGTAGAACATAAAACTGTGATTAAAAAAAAATGAATTGTTCTTTACATGAAGAAATTAGGGATCAATGTGATTAGTCTTGATAACATAAGAAATTAGTCAAAAGATGCTCAATAGGAAACAAAAAATGAATCTCAGCCACAGCTGTATGTAAGAAATGTCTCTCATGGAAATCAGTGGTAAAAGTCTCCATTCCTGGAAGCCAATTCATCTGTTCAGTGTTGGTTTAGCTTTAGAATTATAAAATCATTAAATTAATACTGGGTAGCATTCAGTCCAGTTAGCATTTTCTGAATTTACTGTGTGGCTCAACTTCCTGATCTGAAAATCCCTGGTTCTCACTTTGGATGGTGTTAATGAAATGCCACCCCCAGAGCCCTGGGTCGGTGCTGAGGGCCCTGCCCAGAGCCCCCCACACCTGAGAGCTCCTGCCTTGTTCTGCAGTCCCAGCTGTGCCAGTTCCAGCAGGACATAACCAGGAGAGAGGGGAGCAACAGTGACCTGCAAATGAAGCTGCACGAACTGACATCGCTGCTGGAGGACAAAGAGGCTTTTATTAAACAACAGCAAGAGGTAAAATAATACAAGTTATTTCTCTTCTAAGGGTTTTTGTGTTTAAGCCTCCATGTACTGTGTAGGTGGAACCTTAGCAAGAAGTCCCTTGTCCTCTCCTGGCTCAGGAAAGGGGGTGAGGATTTGTTCTAACTGAATGCTGTTCCTCTGTCAGCCTTCTGGAAGGGCAATTTCAGACTGTTGAGACAAATTTCTGCAAATATTTTGTTGTGGCTTTAGAGAACTGGTACTTCAGAAAACATTACTTCACATCAGTGTTTGCTTTTGGTTTTCTCAGGAGCTCTTCAGACTGAAGCATGAGAAGTTATCTGGCAGTCAGTCCCCTGGGGTGACAGCCATCATTACTAAAAAGTAACGTGTTATTCACCTTTTTTAAAAACACATCCTTTGGGTTTGCCTTTGTTTAGGCTGTGTTAAGCAGTCTGTTCTCTGCAGGTACAGGAATCAGTATCCTATTCTGGGTCTCCTGTCTGATGACTACAAGGTCACATCACCTGTCAATAAATCACAAACGATTGTCATTGAGAGGACTGGGGAGATTTGGAAACACGTAAGTTTACCTGGAGATGGACTGTTCCCTCTGCAGTCCCTAAGTGCTCAATTTAATTTCAAAGCAAGTATTACCCAAACTGAGAGCTCAGAGATGCCCTCGCGGTAATTTAAGTGCAAAAAGCCAAGTGACTGATAGCAGCCAGGGCATTGTCCTGGCTCTTGGGTGCAGGCAGTAATTGGTGGGTGTGGTACAAATAAAACCTTTTGTTGTTTTCTCTGGCACGTAATTACCCTGAACAAAAGCAGCAGCGTTGCTCTAACCCCAGCCCCGGGGTGTTGCTGTGCTGGGCAGGTAGGCAGGGACCGTGTCCTGCTGTGCTCTCAGGTGAGGAGGGATTTGCGAGGGCTGTGCTCCTCTGCATTAGGAACATTAATGACTCCAAGCTATTACTAAAACATACAAAGCACCACATCCCTGAAACTCACCTTGAGCCAGGGCAGTGACAAACCCAGGAATGCAGAAGAGTGGTGACATTTTAGGGAGTGATTCAGAGTAAAAACAGAAAACAGGGCTGCAGAAGCTATTTCTGTTACAGGGAAGGCTCGTGGTGCCAAGTCTGGCAAGGTTACAAAGAGAAATGGCCAAGCAGGGGTGGTGGTGGCTGCAGGCACAAGGTCACAGCAGCACCTGGACACAACCACGGGGGCACACAGCCAGGGGACAGTTCTGTGACAGCCTGAGCAGATGCAGTTAACACACCTGGCATGCTCCTCAAGGGGACCTTGCCTGCAGCAGGATTGAGAAAGCAAAAGGCTCAGGTCACTGGCAAAGAGCAGAATTTTATTACTGATCCCTAAACCTCACCCGGGTGCATTGCAACCTAGTGAAATGTCATGCAATGAAACATTAATAAAGAAATGAAAAAGTACAGTGTTTGCTACAGAGGAAAGGCTCACTGCTCCCCTTGGACCCTCTACAAGAGAAAACAAGTAGGTAATTAAATGAGATGCTTTATGGGAGGTAGTTTTGTTTCATAACAGAAACAGGTTTGTGTATTTCTTCTAACAAGCTGCTTGTTTCTTTTAGGAGTGAGAGAAACCTCAGAGCTGCTCCAAGGAGTTCACAACCACTAAAACTGCTTTACTTTCTGCTCTTCTGCATCCAAAAAAGGTTCAGTCTGATAGTGAGGAAGGCTGGGAAAACAATAAGGACTCACTTTTCCCTCGGAAGAGTGGCATGCTCTCCCTCTGTGGACTTCAGCTGTTCTTGACCAACTCCTGCCCTTCAGCCAGTCCTCAGGCAATCTAGGAGACAAAAGGAAGACATCTGAAACCTCTTCCTCTTGGTCTTTGTAACCCTACTCTGTCTCCTCATGCTGAGAGTGGGAATGACCCCGATGTCAGTCCCACCCCTCCCACAGCTGCTTTCAGTGCAGAGTCACAGGCTGCATGGGAACTTCAAAAATACCTCACTGGGAACTGCTCCTTACCTTCCACCTGCCTCTGTCTGGGAAGCTCGGACACAAAGGACAAAACTTACATCAAACCCAGCTTCTGACCTGGCAAATGCCAGCAGGACCCAGTTCAGTGAAGGGCTGGGCCAAGGCTCATTTTAGAGAATGTTTCTGACCTCAGAGGTGATGTATTTTCAGCCCCAAACCAGCTGTAAGTATTTATTTGCTGTGCTTCAAATTTTCAAGAACTTGGTATATTTTTATATGGAAGAACTTTGTGTGAAAATAACTCATGGACTAAATTTCCTTATCAGACTAACCTGCCATTTATAATTTCTGCTCCTTGCAGGACTACAGAAATTCTTTCAAACTGGTGTTCATGATTCAGTAGTTGTCTGAGCAGCACAGCAGAGACTCACAGGCTGCAATCCAAAGGTGCTCTTCTATCGCGGGGTTCTTGCTTTGCTTTCCTGCTGCAGCCATGTATTTCTGTTCCCACATAATATAGACCCTAGGCAATGTTTAATGGGCAAAGAATGCTGGAGGCTACCTGTAACCATGAAATAAACCCAAGTCTAACTCTCTGCATCATTGTCTGTCTGTCCTGGAAACATCTTGTGTCCAGCTGGAGGGGGTGGTGGTGTCTTGTTCCTCTCCATGAATCTTTGCAAGTGAAGGAAAAGGGCTGGCTCCCCTTTCTGCCTGCTGCTGCCAGCCCTCCCTCAGGTAATGCTGGATGTCCAGCTGGCCTTGTGCTCTTCAGGCCTGGCCAAAGAGCCACGAGTAAAACCTGTTCCTGCTGCTGCTCTTTGAGTGTGCCCAGCCTGAGACTGGCTTTACAGAAAGGCTTTAATGAGTTAAATACTTCATTTGAATGAGGAGTGCCTTGCCCCTCTGCATTCAGTAATTATTCTGAAAGATTCTAAAGCAACCCCTTTTCAGCAGAGCAGTGAATAAAAGGTACATCTACACTCAGAGCTAAGGTGCTCCTGCCATGGGACAGTATCAGTGCAATAAATAGTTTAAGTTACACTGTCAGCAAAAGACTTTTCACCTTTGATGATCTTAAACACAAAAAAAGACTAACAGGAAGAGCTCCATGTTTGTTTAATGCCATGTTACCTGTGCAGGTGTCTGGGTGCAGGTGCTCCTTGTGCTCCCACCAGGGCTGGGGGTTTCCCACAGCTCAGATGAAGCTACAAAGAGCAGAAATGGGAGTTATTAATGGCTACAGCTGCTGCTGGCTGATCCCAGCTATGGATGTGCTGAGCAGCCCCTCAGTGACACCAACCTGTCTTTCCTCCACTCCATGGCACAGCACAGGGCACACAGGGACCTCCCTTAACGAGGGACAGGGCTCAGACCAGGAGCTGCTGGGCACGGTGAGACAATTCCATGGCCAAGGCCACCATCAGGCAAATGCTCTTTTCAAATCCAGCTGATCCATCCCAGTGGAAACATCCTGGAGCAGCCAGGAGAGCTGCAGCCTGCTTAGAAAAAACCCAGGTTGCTGCTCAGGCCAGCCAGCTCTCTGTCCTGGGGGTAGCAAGGACAGCTCCTCAAAGACTCTGAAGATCACCAGCCCCTGTAAATGCTACAGAGCAGACACTCTAACTCCACTTTGTACTCACAGAAAACACAAAGCAATGAATGGTTGTCAAAAAGCTGAATTAGACTAGTACATAAAGCATATGGCCATTTACTTATAGGCTGGTTTTGTTTTCAAACAATATGTATTTAAAAAGCAAATTTAGTATTTTTTATTATGAAGTACCTGTTACTGTGGGCTCAGCTGTCTCCTCTTTGCTGTGGAACTGGAACTGATTTATCTAATGTGGTTTCTGCTGGAGTTTACAGAAACTCATTTTCTCATTTACTCAGCTCTGTAAATCCTGGTAAGAATTTTACTTTAGCTCATTTCCCACCTCAATTTCTAGTAGGTCCACCAAGACTTCTCTATTTTCTCCAGGAATAAATTAAAAAATGTCAGACACTATTTACTTTATATAATTACAACACTATACATTCTGCCCTGTCTTTTTCTGCCAGAATGCAGAGTCTTGTTTTGAACTGAAAATGAAAGAACTGTCTTCTTTGTTTTGACTGACTGCAGTATTGAAGTTTCTCTGCCTCAGCTGTAAAATAAAAGCCAAGGAGAGCCCTGGCTGGGAAGTCCCTGACAACTCCAGCAGCCACCAGGCCACACCCAGTACCTCACCTTTACCTCCAGAGTTCTGCTGCAGCTCTTCCGTGTTTCCTCTCTAATTTATTACCTTTAATTGTGGGCAGTTGAAACCTGAGGAAAGAAAAACACAGCTGATGATCAGGATGTGAATCACTTTTAACTGCACCTGTCAGCCCAATAAAAAGCTGCACCAAACAGCTCTGACGTTTCAGAGCAAGCCCTGCACACTTTTGTGAGGCTCTGCTTGTTCAGGCACCTGCACAGCTCTCAAAATATTTACTTATAAGGGCAGTGAGAGGGATTTGGGAACAGTCCCTCAAACTGCATTTTATCCTTGCATTTCAGAAGACTTAAACCACCACTTCCTAGTAAAATCTTATGTCAACAACAGCAACTGACCTCGTGCTTTGATACAGAACAATTAATTACCTGATTTGGTCCGTCTGTAGGGTGGAAAAATGAGCCAGCACAGCCATGGGCAGAGTCAGGGATCATCTTCAGGCTATGAAGAAACTCCTTCAGTCCATGTATTCAACATGACACTCAGGAACAAAGCACTGACATTGTCAGAAATCCACAACTTTAAATCACTAAGATTTTTTCCCTTCTGACTGCTGGGCATGCAAGGAAAAGCAGGAACAAAATCCAGACGAATTCATTCCTGTCTGCTTAATTTCTGCAAAACCTACGAGTTCAGTGGCTCAAAGTCCATTGGAAATCCTCCATGAAGGGTTCATTTAAGAGCACGTGTTCTTCTTCAGCTTTTTAATCTGTTACTGATGTTGTAATTCAGGTATTCTAAAAAGAAAGGGAATTTAGGATAGCAGCGTTTACAGTATTTCACTCTACAAGCTGTTCTATTACACAGGTAAAAAGACAAAAACCTACCTGGATTTTCCCAAAATATGTAAGAAGTTTTTCATTCTCTTAAAGGAAAGAAAAAGTTCAAAGGAATGTCAGTATCACATTTGATGATTATTTTAGAAATAAGCAAAACCAAATACAAATACATTACCTGCTAGTCCAAAGGGTTAAAGCAAACCCAATGTTCTCTCCTCAACATTCTGATAAATACACCTGCAGTAACCTGTTTACTTGAAATGTGATTACATATTAATTAGTGAACAATGCAATTAAAAACATCAGGCGGATTTACAGAGAATGGGACTTTCCTAAACACCAGAAATGAAAAGGAAACTCCAAAAAATCTGGAGTGCAAGAGATGCATTTTATTGTATGCCCGTTACGATGAGTAACACATTTAGAAATAATAATCCCACAGAACAGTGACAATCTTATTTTACAGCGTGTACATCATTTTTTACAGCCACATAAAACACTTATTTGTCTAAGAGATTTCCCAAATTTTAACTTTCTGAAGTTTAGAAATATAAAAAAAATTTATTCTCAAGGAACTGATTCTCATCTGGTGCAAAAACAAAATATGAACATTATCTGGAACACAAAGCCACAATATAGCATGAAGTTACAATTTCTCATGTGAACAGCTGTGTGCAAACATGAAGCAACTAAAAAAAGTAAAAAATACACATTATATGCATAACATTTATGACCAGGTTTTTCATTAAATAGCCCTAGACCAGCTCGTTATATAAGCGCCATTGGATTTGCAGCATGCTAACACAAAGCATTTTTAAAGGGATGCATATTTTAAATGTATACACTGTAAACTCAAGATCCACCTCCAAACTCTAGTGGCAGCAAATTTTTCTGGTTAAATACTGCATATATACTTTCTTACAGATTGAAAATGCATGTTTATAGCATGGTATAGATCTTTTTTTAAAAGAATCGATTAAAAGGTGCAATTTTATGTCTATATGGAAAATTTCATATTAGGAGGTAGGACAGTAACTGTTAAGAACACTGCCCTAAAGAACCTCTAAGTACTTTGAATTTTAATAAAAAAAACCCTACAGTTTTCAACTGTTTTTAATATTCTTTTTAGAGAACACTTTAAAGTAGCAAGGAAAAAACTTAGTGTTGAGTCACAACACTATGAGCTGCATCCATTTTTAATCCTTAAAAAAAAAAAAAGTCAAATTCAAAGTTAATTTTGTTATATGTGCCATACTGAACAACATTCAACTGTAGTTTCAGGTAAAAAAAGGGAAATTATATATACATATACATCTTTAACCCTAGCACCAGAACACCACCTCTGAGACCATAACATAATGCTCTATTTTAAACATCATATCCTGCAATAAAATAGGTTAGCAGCTTTGAAAACCAGTAAAAAAATGCTTCTTGGACCTAAACTAATAAAGGAAACCAAAAAGTTTCCCTATGAAATGTTTAAAGAAAAAAAAAAAACAACAAACCAAACCAAACAAGGGACACCTCCCCCAAATTTCACCTGTTCTGGAATTCAACTTCTAGGCACAGTTGAAAACGTTGTGATGAAGTGTCTGACTAAAACTCCCCGTTCCAAACTGCACAAGAAGGGAAGAGGGGGCTCCTTTGCAAACCCTCTGTAGCTCACCCCACCAGGGATCTGTGTCCATACTGGAGACACACGTTGGGACTGACAGAATGGGTCACACAATCAGCTCTGCCCTGTCCTCTAGACTCAGCAATGGCAAATACTGTTCACTTGGAGACATTCATCCATCTTTCTGCAAGTTTAAGACATTCATCCATCCTCTGCATTCTCTAGTGCTCTTTAGGTTCTGATCAGCAACAATCATAGGGCTATGAGATCCCCTGCCAACCCTAATACTTTTTTAAGACTTTTAATACAAAGAATGTAAAGTTATGGTTTAATATCAAGCTTTGAAACCAGGAGAAACAGTTCGTGAGATTTATTTTTTTCCCCAATTAGCATATCACAGTTTCTACACCGCTTCCTTCTGCAGCTCACCTATCACATTATGGCCTCTTTGTGGTGCCTCATTATGTGCTGATTTTTCTCGGAGGGCCTGCGGAATCCCTTTTTGCAGTACTCACACCTGTGGGGGTAGTCTTTGGTGTGGATGGAGATGACGTGGCGCTTAAAGCCCGACGCGTCCGTGGTGCTGTACTCACAGTACTGGCACTGGTACACCTTCCTGCCACTGTGGGTCTTCATGTGCTTCTTCAGTTCGTTCTGCTGCCTGAAGCCCCTTTTACACCTTTTGCATTTAAAAGGCAGGTCCTTGGTGTGAACGGAGAGGATGTGCCCACTGAGCACAAAAGGGTCGGAGGTTTTGAAGTCACAGTGCCTACACTGGTGGATCTTTTTCCCTTTATGGGTCTCGCTATGCTTCTTGAGCTCCGAGGGCCGGTGGAAGCCTTTCTCACACACCTCACACTTGTGGGGAAAATCCTTGGTGTGCACTGAAATGATGTGTCGCTTCAGGTCACTGGAGTTGGTGCTCTTGTGGTCACAGTGGGGACACTGGTGAGTCTTATGGCCTTGGAAGAGCTCGGTGTGCTGCTGCAGCTCCTTCTCGTCGGCGAAGGCCTGGGGACAGTGCTCACATTTAAAGGGCAGGTCGGTGCCGTGTTTGGTTTTGATGTGAGTTTTCAGGTTGGACTGGTCAGCACACCTGAACACACAGTGCTGACACTGGTATGGCTTTTCCCCCGTGTGGGTCCTCATGTGCTTTTTCAGCTCCGAGGGGTGGCGGAAGCCCTTCCCGCACTCCACGCACACATGAGGGAAGTTCTTGCTATGGACTGCCAGCAGGTGCCTGTTGAGCAGCCCCTGCTCTGCAGTCTCATAGTCACAATATTTGCACTTGTGGAGCTTGGGCTCCTTGTCCCTCAGGATGAGTTTATTGGAACTCAACGGGCTCGCCTCTCTGTATCTTCTCGTGTACTCTGTAAACTCATGCGTTTTATCAACTTTATTTATAAGTTTATGGCTTTCCAGGTGATTGTGGAAACTTACTTTTTTGTTAGTCGTAAAGTCACAGTCTGTACACTGGTATTTCTTCTTGATCATATGATCGGGATGGTTCTTCATATGCCTTTTCAAGAATCCTCTGGATTTAAATTTTTTCCCACAAATATGACAAGGGTAAACTGTTAAGGGCTGTCCATCAGGACCTATTATAACAGCTGTTTTTGAACAAACAAAAACAAGTTATGAAGGAAACACATTTACTGATTAAGAAGTTTCAAATCAGCCAAGTGCTGTTCAGATTCATGCACTTACACTTGCAGCAGAGAGAGAGAGTGGCTCAGTAGTTTAAAAACAACCAATCCACAGCACCTATAGTTTATATAGCTCTGTTTTAGAAACTGCTCAAACAGATCAGGAATATCACATGTGCACTGAATATAGCCATGGGTACTTTTTAATAGCTTGCAACATTCCAATGAATTGCATCAGCCCTGAGTGTACTGACTCTGAATAGCAAAATATGACATTTTCTAGGCACAGAACTGGAGGGGGGAAGGACACAGGAAATACGCAAATCATCATTTATAGCTTTTAATTCTGCATCAGCTTAAAAAAGAGAAAAGGAATAGGACAGGAGTAAGTGGCACTCCATGACAATACCGTAACCATCCACTGTTTACCTGTTTGCCATTGCCTGGCCTCTCCTCTCCTCCTTTTCTTGGTTTTTTGTTTGAGCACTCTATTAGTGCTAATGCTATCACAAATCTGCAGGTACTGTGTTGCATTACCGTTTTTGTTTTCTAATCGTGTATCCAAGTTATTTCCTAGAAACAAAAATTAGACACCATAAAAAACCTTAAACAACTTGTTTCTTTGGGACTGACGACTGGAATTGCACAGCAGCATTATCTACTTTTTAAAAACAAGCACTGCCCATTCCTCTACCACCAACATACATTAAAAAGAAGTGTGCTAATAGGAACCACTATCTATCTTTCCTGGCAAAAGTTTAAATACTGATTAATGATTGCTTATGATTGTTTAAACACTGATTAATTTCTAAATATATAACTTGATTTTTATTTTTTTTTACTTCTTAACAACATTATCTCTTTCCTGTCTGCAAAACTACATTAAAAACTTGGCAGTGCCTCCCAACTTCCCACCCCCTTCTGAAAGCCTACAGACATCTAGAATTGTGTTCATTCAAAACAGTAGAGAAAGACTGTGGAGTCCTTCAATATCTAATTTATGGCTCATTCTTTGCATCCCTGATTGGGAGCACTGACACAGAAATATCTATCTTTTCAAAGACAGTTTTAGTTTTAATGCTGTTAAAAGCTCTCACCTGCTGCTTGACCATCTTCGTATCTTCGGGGAAGCCTTCTTTCATCTCCTGCAGAAAATGGTATTTTAGTCATTATAAAATAATATTCTTTTTAAAGATCCTGATTTTGAAAGCCTGATAATGAGAGAAAACTAACTTAGCTAATAAGCAACAGGTTAACACCATCCAAGTGGAGATGTGCAGTTGTGTAACCATGAGCCTCAGGAGACAAAATCCCATCTCTGGGAGGAGTTAATATCCACCCCATCTGTGTCTGCATGCTTACCCTGCTGGCTCTCCTGCTTTCCATTATTAATATGCTTGTTTCTGCAAACTTTTAACCTCCTCTAGCCCCTCAGATAGCAATGCAGAGGTTATCTGAAGTGCACACTTTGCTGCTGAGATGGAAGCACGTTATCTGTCTGAAGTAGAAGCAGGCAGATAAGGGGACTTGGTCCTTATCAGCCTCTCAGCACAATGGAGTTTTGGAGATGCACAAGGAATACCTCAGGAGCACATTCCTCATTTTGCTCTGGAAGTATTTGCTGCTTTGTGCCAAAGCTCTGTGGTTCTGAAGCACTTTACCAGCCCAACTTTTGGGCTCTCATTACACACCAAGGAAATTTCACTAACTTGTTTAATTAATTGAAACAGAAAATATGGATAACTTGGAACCCTCTTAACAAACATTTAACACACCAAAAACCAAGGAAATTATAACAAAGAATAGATGGAATTCACAATATAACCCAAGACACTTCCACTATTTGAAAACAAATCACTTTCTCACCTGAAGGACTAATAGGTTTAAAACATGTATAAACTGAAATGATTAGGAACATATTTACACATTTATTCCTACTATTCCCTTTTTACAGTCTTTCCCCCTTCCTCCTACTAATGTAAGATATTTAAGGCTGTTCTTGTTGTTTAAGATTTTCAACATTAAGCATCAGACCCCCACAAACTCTGTACATCTGAGCTAGGATCTGAATAAAATCAAACTTCTCCTAACAAGCTTTCCTTTCTACTCCATGAAACTCAACACACAGCGAGCAGTGGATGGCAGAGATCAGGAGCTCTTTCCAAACCCCAAGAACAAGGTGAGGTCATCCCAGAGGTGCTGGCAGCTGGATGAGAGAGGAAATCATGGCAGGGATTTTCAGGAAACAAGCACAGGTTCCTACCGTAAGCTGCAGCCCAAGCAACGGGGACAAACGTTTTATTCACGCCAGAGTCCTCAAGCTGGGTGTCTGGAAGGGATGTGGCTTCTTCTTCCCCTACAATAACTTCCATATAAACTTCATCTGCTATTTCAGCACAGCCTGGATGAAGGGAGGAGAAGAAATCTTTAATTTTATTCTGCCTGTCCTAACTTTTCCTTCATTTAATTTGCTCTCGCTCTAATTGATACCCATTATAAATTAATTTTCTTCCTTTGGCATTTAGGGGATCATTGCTTATTCAGATACTCCTTAAAGAGAGAAAACATGTATCAATAAATATTAATCCACAACAAATGCCCACAAAATTTCCAATACACAAACTCATCAACTTGCAACTGATGACATTTGCCACTTTGTCAGAAAGCTGATTAATTCACAGTAGGAAAATAGAAAAAATAGAAAAAAGAAGTTTGACTAACCTCATTAACTTCATCCATGGACATGTTAAATTTAATATAAATAATGAAATGATTGTACACAGTATGCACAAAGTGCATAATCCACATCACTTTAAAGTAATTATAGTCTGCTTTTTATTTTTAGGGAAGATGAACTTAGTTTTCTATTACTTCAGGTTGAAGAACCCTTCAGAAAAGAATTTAAAATGTCCTTGAAAATGATGGTTATATGGGTGCACAAATAGAATGAGAAACAAAAATGTTTCTTATTATGCTTACTAATATCTTCATCTTCCTGAGAAGAGTCTTTAACAGCCATGTAAACCATTTTTTCTCTCTGCATTCTCCCAACACCTCCTTGTTCAATGACTCCAGCTACAGAATGGCCATTGTGAAAGTCACTCTCAGTGACAATTTCTGTCCCACCTTGAACAAAAAGAAATTACACACATTAAGTCAATGTGAGCAAAGCCACTTGTAAGATTAATTTCAAATCCAAGTATATTTTTGAACTTTCTGGGAGCACATCCCTGAGAGCAGCTCAGAGAACAGCCCAGCTGGGAATTACTGCTCAGCCATCAGAGATTCTGGCTCTCCCTGCTGCTGCACGAGCAGCCTGTCCCTTCTGTCCCTGGAGATGACAGCCCAGCCCCAGAGGAACAAACTGTACTCTGGGAACAGGGCCTGGGAAGGATCCAGAGGTTTCAGCTCCAAGAACAAGCAAGAGGGGGATTCTGCTTTTCAGGAACAGACACAGGTGAGCTGTGCATGCCCTCAGAGCACAGGGATTGCTGCTGTGTCCCTGGGGAAAGGGAACTGCAGAGAATTCTGAGTCCCTTGGTCCACCTGCAGCACCAGAAATCCTCCCCTCTCTCTGCAAAGGCCACCAAAGGCTCCCAACAAAAGGGATCCACTCCAGAGGCTCTGCTGTGCTGACACACTTGTGTCTTGCAAAGTCAGAGAAAAGCAGCAGCTGTAAAAGCAGCTGCAGACACACAGCCACTTCTACATTTGGGCTTTGGCTGCCTGAAAATAGCCCTGCCAACCAAAAAAGAACTCGAGACTAATCCACACCCAGCATTTGCTGCATCTGGGCAGCCTCCACAAATGTCACATTCCACAAAACACTCCAGTCACTGGATTACGTTCAATGAAGAACAAACAGAAAGATCCCGAAACACTTCACACTACTGAAAGAATAAACAGGACTTCAAGGTACCTATCTCAACATCATCTTCAGCTTCAGCTTTAAATATGTAGACTTTGATAACTTCTGAACCAAAGCCATCATCTTTAGCAACATCATCATTTGCCACCTCGGTACTGATCTTCAAGGGAGTGCTTCCTATATGGTCCAATTTCTCTCCAACATCATCCACTGCAAAGAGAAGAGAATAACAATGAGGTTCAAACACATTTTTAGAAGTCAAAGCAATCAGTAGCATGATTTTCTCCACTATTCTCCCCATGCACAGGAAAGGTTTGTATTCATAAGTGGCCTTTAAAAGCAGCTCATATCAAGAAACTTAAAAGAGATTCCAGAAGTTCAGTATTTTACTGCAACTCAGGAAACACAGCAGGAATTACAGAATGAAGGACACAAGAGGGAGCTTGTCATCAAAGGGAATGAGGTAACTGGTTATGGCTGAAACTATTACTTTTAGAAAGCAAAAATTCATCAAGAATTAAAATTAAATATCTATGCAAAAGGGTTAAAAATTAACCCAGAATTGCCTGATACAGTCTAAGAGTTCTCAAAAGTTTCACTCTGATGCATAGTGACTAAAATTTAGTGGCTGAAACTCTTGTGGAGTGTGATGACTTGGAGTATATTCCCAGCTAAAGAAGTGTGCATCAAAAATCTGACTCTATTTTCTCCCAAAAAGAAATTATGATTTTATCCACTTTATCACTTGAAAACATACACATTAATGAAGATGCATGATATACAGCTGATTAAAAGATGCAGTGACAATAAATCCAAATACAACTGTGAGAGACTGGCTTCTCATTCTTTACACAATTCACTCATTGATTATTTGGTTTATACATTAAAAATATTCATTTAATTTCTAAGAAAATAAAATACATCCAAACTATTAAAAGCAACATATTTTGGTAAAAAGGGCATTCACAGGATGACCATAGATACACCTCAAACTGCCAACACAGAGGGCATTGAACTCAGCATCTCTCTGACAAATGTACCAACACACTTCTCACTGAGGATAAATTTAGCTCCTGTGCAGATGGTCAACACAAACCTGTGCAGTGCTGAACGCCCACTGAAGCCCTCTAAATAGAGGAGAATCCCACAAAATGTAGAGAAAATCTGAATGAAATGCATGCCAGGGAAACAGCATCTTACTGCACACGTAACATGAAAATACGTGTGCACTAAGCAAAGAAAAACTCCTTAAAATGAACACTGAGGTGACAGCAGAGCTTCCTGACTCCACAGGGATGTTAGGCTCTGATCCCTGGGAAAAGCTGGCTTACCTGGGATGGCTGCAGTGGTCCCCAGTCCCCTCCCACTTTCCTGCTCCCAGGGCACTGGTGGCTGCTCCCAAGGGCTGCTTTAACCCCCTTGAGCACTGGGCTAAACTGGAGTCACTTTAAGCCTTTAAAGCTCGGGGCAGTCACAAGAGGTGGGAAGGAGAAGGTGCCTCTCCTGCAGCAGGGGGGTGGGAATCCACCCCAGCAATCCCAAACTAAGCTCTTCCCACTCATGGACAGGATTCCAGGGACACCTACCCAGCTCACAGCACTGGGAAACCTCATTTCTATTCACAAATCCTGGACTGCACCAGGTGAGTACAGGGGTTACTGAGGACAGAACTGGATAAAACGGAGGTAAGCACAAGTAAATACCTGGTTTTGTTTTAGAACCTCTGTGAAGTGTATACTTTGATGGAAATTAATATTCTGAGTTGGAAGGGACCCACAAGGATTATCAAGTCCAACTCTTAAATGAATGGTCCATATGGGGATTGATCCCACAGCCTTGCTGTTATCAGCACCAGGCTCTATAACCTGAAACATCCATGGAAAACATTTTTAAAATGCTGGTTTAACTGTCTGGGGGGGGCTTGAGGTTTTTTGGTAACTAATGGATTCATTCCATTGCTGAAAAAGTACCAAACTGATCAGGAAAAAAAAATTCCTTGGGAAGAGAAATTTACTTTTTTAATTACACAAACTTTCTAAATCTCTACTGAAGTTAATGCCAGGAACATCAAGACCTTAATGAGTTAGAGTCTGACATGTGCTGCCTGAGGTGACCTGGCAGGACACTGGGAACAGTCACAGCACAAACACTGAGAGAGCCACAACAGAAAACCAGAATTCCTCTGACACTCGACTTTCCAGCACCAGGCCATTAAATCCCTTTACATCCACGCTGGGAGTGTTACTGCACCTGCTAATTGACATTTCTTATGCTGCCAGAATGGGGTTGTCAGAAGACAGAAAAGTGGAGATGCTGAAATTCCCTTTTCTTGGAATAAGTATTTCCATAAATTTATTAAGCATGAATCTATTAAATATTTTTTTTCTGCAAGGCTTTTAACATTTATAAGATTTTCTTATGCATGTTCTGGAAAATGATAAATATAAATTTAATTTAATACAATGACCATTCCCACTGCATGTGTGAGTGTTGGAAGGACTGTGGGTATTCCCAGTACAAAGAGGGATTATATACTCAGCTCTGTGACTGCCAAAAAGAGAATTTCAAAGCTTACAAACCCCACCAATTTAGAACTGGGAGCTGGTAATAAAGTTCTTTTCAAATCTGCAACTCAAGAAACACCAATTTTTTCTAAACTCATATATTTGATAAACATAACACATTACCAGATTAACAGAAATAAGTATTTCTGTCCTGGGAAGTTACTCAACAACAGCAACTTCCTGCTGAACAGGGGAGTTACCACATGTGTGTCAGGAAGTTTTCTTTATGGAAAAATTTCCAACTATTTGACTAATATTATGTGACAGTGACTGTGCACCACTATGGGGCTGGTGAAATAATGTAAGAAAAAATCCCACAATTTTAGATCGTTACCATGACATCAAGTGCAATGCAATAAACATTACAGGACGGAAAAAATGAGGAATTTTTCAATTTTTTTAAGAATATATTCAGCAAAAGAGAACTCCAAAACATGAATATAGCATGTACACCCACATACTGTATTTTAATATTGCCTGTAAAGCCCCAAATCTTCAATATCCTTTAAAAATAGGGAGTCCTGTTTTAGAGGGGCAAACTTAGAACAGTATTTTTAACATGTGTGGTTACTTCTACACCATTAAACATTCTGTGTATTCTCAAAAAAATTCAGTCTTTACAATTTAAGCTAAAAAAATGGAAACCTATCAGGAAGTTTGGGTATCCAGGGCCCCTGGATCACTTTTCTAAAGAAGTAAATGTGTAATATAGCAAAATTTGGAAAATATCATCTGGGCTGAGAAAATGATATCAATATAGACTGTTATCTGTAAGATGTTGCTTTTTGTTCCAAATACAACAAAACACACTGAAGTGGGCAATTGCTTTTGCTTAAAGTCTGTCCTATCTGAAGTAAATTTCATGGCTTCCATCTACCTTCTAAACAGGTTTAGGTAAGAGGAAAACAACACAGCAAGACAAGCAATCTTTGTCAGGTTCCAAAATATTATCATTTTTTAGAACAGCTCATGAAAAGATTCTGTTGTCTAAGTAAGATTCTTACTTCAATCAATGCTAACCCATCAGTGCTAAATTCTGTGCAGCTTTTCCCAGGGACAGCTCAGGGGAACAGGGAGGGAATGCTTGCTCCCTTTCTGTCAATGGAATATCAAAGTGTTTTCCAGCTCTGACTCACCCACCAGAAGCCCTACATGTTATTATCTGGTCCCTTAAAATAAACTGTAAACACACAACTGAGAACCTCCATAAATAGATGCTGAATCCTCCCAGGTGAACAAGCTTTAAAGGAAAACTCAGCACACTCCCAGTGTTAAACTTACCTGGCTTGGCTGTTTTCAGGTGTGTGATGTCCAGATTCACCGTGGATTGCCAGCTCCCAATCCATGTGATGCCTCACATGCACTATGCTGGTGATGCCACAGCCACCAGAGGAGCAACACGAGGGCAAGGTAAGTCCCAGCTTTGACAATTCTCCGGGTTTTTCTAATGTCTGATCTACTTAAGTCCCATTCAAAGGTTCAAATAGAGGAGTAGGAATCCTAAAATGTTCAGCAAATGAGGCAACAGTGTAAGACACTAAAAAGGAGGTGTTGGTGGCACAGTACCTTACCCCCGGGCCAGCTCCAGTGTGGGTCAGTGGTGGCTTTGAGGTCACCAGAATAGTGCATGGGGCCGGCACGCGGAGCGGGGGCTGGCAACCCGCTGTGGGTCTGAATATCGCAAACCTGAAAAACAAAAGAGGGGAGGCTTCAGCTCCACTGTGCCCCTGCAGCATGGGATGTGCTGCTCACCAGCTCCATCTCAATCTGACAGGGCTGGGGTCAGGGGCCCACCACTGCATTTGGGGTTCAACTCCTTTTTATCCTTTTTATCTCATGGTTTAAAGCAAAGAATCGTGAACACCCTGCGGTATTCGTGTTGTGAACGAAATTCGTGTTGTTTTGAAATCTATCAAAAATATATTTTTTAAGTCCTATGCTTATAAAACAAGTTTGAAAAAGCTGAATTTATCTACAGAGTGGTGATAATCTTCCAATGAAAAATTCCAATCACAAAATCATACACAAATGTCACACAGCTATCAAGATGAACTTACTACTGTCCAAATAGTATTTACACAGAAAATGCAATTACCAAAAGTGTATGAAGTATCCACATGGGAAAGTCACCTCAAAATGGTGAAAAATCACCTTTCAGTGAAGTCCCTTCCAACCCAACCCATTCTATGTTTCTGTCATTTAAGCTGTAACTCCCAACAAGCATAAGGGAAATCAAAACTCCACAGTCAGTTCTACACCCTAAATTGTCATATTTTGGTAGTTCCCACATGTGTTCCACAGAACAACGTGTGGTATTCCCTAAGGGCATATCTGGCATTTTATGTAAAGTCTCCCCTTTTTAGATGCTGAATTTCATTAAAAGACAACTAAATATTATGAAATTCTTTAGAAGTATCACTTTGGTGTGACTTACATCATAAAAACAGTTCAACAGCCCTATATATACACCCCAAATAAAACACTATAAAATTCATTTCCAGCAATATTGACAGCATTTGACAATTGAATATATATAAGTAAATAAAAAGTTTTGACTTGCTTGATAAATTGAGGCCTTTATCTATTCTACAGAACACATTATCTCCATAAACAAGAGAAATCCAAGGGCAACATTTAAACAATAAAAAAAATTAACAACTGCATAAGAGTGATTCATTACCACTGACTAAAACACAATAGCAGACACTTTGTGGGGTCAGGCTGGCATCCCCAGCATAACACAGGCTCAGAATCCAGGAAACACAGCAGAGCTCAAACACCTTCAGCAATGATGCAGATGAAGGGATCAGCTTTGCAGATGACCCTGAGTTGGGGAAGGGTTGATGCTGGAGGTGGGAAGCTCTGCAGGGGAGTCTGGACAGGCTGGATCCATGGGCTGAGGGCAATTGTGGGGTGCCAGGTCCATCCCTGGGTCACAACATCCCCATGGAAAGCTCCAGGCTGGGGCAGAGGGGCTGGGAAGCTGGGAAAGGTCCAGGAGGTGCTGGTGACAAGGGCTGGACACAAACCCAGGGGTTCCCAGGTGAGCAAGGAGCCAAAGGCACCTGGCTTGGATCAGGAATGGTGTCCAGGGGGATGAGGGAGTGCAGGGACACCCCCAGTGCTGGGGGCAGCTCTGGGACCCTCCGGACAAGAGGGACAAGGAGGGGCTGGAGCGAGTCCAGGGAAGGGAACGGAGCTGGGAAAGGGCTGGAGAACCAGGAGGGGCTGAGGGAGCTGGGAAGGGGCTCAGCCTGGAGAAAAGGGGGATCAGGGGGGACCTTGTGGCTCTGCACAACTCCCTGACAGGAGGGGACAGCCAGGGGGGTCCCAGGGAACAGGGACAAGAGGAGAGGGAACGGCCTCAGGCTGGGCCAGGGGAGGTCAGGTTGGATATTTGGACAATTCCTCCATGGAAAGGGTTGTGCAGCCCTGGCAGAGCTGCCCAGGGCAGTGGAGTCCCCATCCCTACAGGGATTCAAAAGCCATGTGCATGTGGCCCTTGGGGACATGGTCAGTGGTGGCCCTGGCAGTGCTGAGGGAATGATTAAACTCAATAATCTTACAGCTCTTCCCCAACCTAAACGATTCTGACTGCCTTAATTTATCTAAATGACTACTTAAAACAAAATCCTAGATGAATAATGTAGCTTCCAACTGTGACTACTCAGGCTCATCACGATTTCACATATATAAAAATTTAATTTGTTGAAAACTAGGTCTCAAAACGGCTTTGAAACATTGTGAAAGCCAAGCTTGAGAACTCCTGACAAAACCATGAATGTGTCAGACACACGTGGGGCCATCAGGTAACTGAAAGCTTCAGATGCTCTGGTCTAAGTGCAGGATCATCAGCATCAATCACACTCATCTCTCTCAGAAGGAATCCCAAAGATGACTGCACTTACAGTGACAAGTCACAGAATAAACTCATCCTAAGTACTCTGTCAGAAGGGTGGAATTTGTTCAGCGAAACAACTGGCTGCAAAAATGCTGTTCCTTTCGTTACAAAACACACAGGATTTTTTTGTTGTTGTTACTTTATAGACTCATTTCTGAAGTTCTTTTCCAAAAAACCCTCTTTTAACTTTTAATGACACAGTAATGATGGAAAGCTTTAAAAATCATTGCTGTTCATACTGTACTGAATGAAAATAAATATCAAAATATATTTTGCATAAGGGACATAAATGCTTTAAGAGAGGAAAATCATTATAATCACAAGTAAGTTGTGTCCTCTGTCATGAAATTTTTAATAAATGCAGCTCGTTGTGAACAGACTGACACTTTGACACACTTGGCATTGACTTTTTTTTTAACATATTGCTTCTGACTAAATAAAATCTGTTTTGACCTACTCACATTTCAGTAAGTGATTTGAAGAATTTAAAAATTTTAAATTACTTGGAATATACTTTGGCAAATTTGTGTAGCAGCAACAACTGGTACCTTGGGTATAATGTAAGCACTGAAGAAACACAAAGTACCCAAGGTTCTTTCAGTGGCCAACTTCACCAGGATCATATGGAGTTGGATGCTGTGTGGGAACTGGAATGTGTTAATGAGCCAATCCATTAATGAACACGACCCCTTATTTCCAGAACAGCACAACAGAAAATGAAATGCCCATTATAGGTTTTAATGCACTAAACAAACCACATTTTGTGGCCACATTGAGAAAACTTTGAGGCAGAGATCTTAAAAAATATATTTTTTAGTGGATTCTCCTGATAAATCCCAATATGTTATTTTTAAATGATTCTACATAGTATTGTAATATACCTGGGATGTTCTTTAGAAAAAAAGTTGTATATTCAAAATAAATGGAATGTTTCACTTTCCAAGGTGTTCTTCTTAAATTTTCTTAAATTTTAAATGGATTATCTAGTTTCAGAAACACAAACATACACACTCACTCACTCAGCAGCACCAATGTCCTTCTCTTTCTTGTTTGTACCAGTGATTCTGCATCACAACCCCAAATGCAGCCACAGGAATTAACTGGGCACCAGCCTATTCCCTGAGTGTTCCAAGAGTCCAGTTACAGAACTTCTCCCCACCAGAGCACTTCCAGCTCAGCTCCCTCCTGCTTCCATCTACCTGTGTGCACTTACAAGAGATCATCAGGTAGTCCTCAGATGTGCTCTTGCCATCATCATCGTCCTCGGTTTTGATGGTGACAGTGGAGCCAGGGACAGTGCCAGCTGCCTGGATCACAGCTTCTGAATCCGAGTTGGTCACCAGCACCTCTTCTGACACCATGGTGGGAGACTGGGCGCCGGCCCCGGCGTCCTGCACCACGTGCTCCAAGTGTCCCTCCGGGCCCGTGACAAGGTCAGCCACAAACACCTGGTCGGGAACTCGCACGGTTTCTGTGATCAGGTCAGAAGTCAACACGTGGTCACTGGTGTCCAAAGCCTCCTCGATGGCCACGTCAGCCTCCAGCACGGAGTCGGGGACGATGACGCCCTCGGTGACGACGTCTGTCTCGGTGATGATGTCGGGGCCCTGCACCACCTCAGCTGCCAAGCCGTGATCCAGGGTTATCCCATCATCTGTGACCACGTCAGACACCAGGACAGCTTCGGGGACTGACACAACTATGTGGTCTCCATCGATGTGAGCAGTGCCAGCCATTCCAGCCACTAGGGAGAAAAATGTTACAATTATTGCACCAACAACTGGTTTATCTAAGGAGTGGAGTTATCACATAGACAAGTTAAACACAGATGTAAAAATCTGCTACTTCTCCACATCCACATTTTGCATTTTACCAAATAAACACTGTCCAAAGCAGCCCTTCTGTAGAAGTTAAGACAAACAAAACACACCACTTCAAGACATAATGTGGAGCTTGTCCCAAACTCAGGATCTGTTACAAACTAAAAGCCAGTTAACAATTCAGTCTCTTTTTTTTTTTTAATTCCCAGTTAGAAGACATTTCATTGCAGCAGCAATGTGAACCTTCACAGAATTCTTTAATGACACTGGAAGTGTGGTAACAAGCCATTAATTGCTGTTACAACAAAAGGACTCACCCTTTGGACTGTAAGGGCCTTGTTAAAAATAAACACTCAGTTTGATGCAATATTTACAGTAAAATTTGCAATAACTTGCCATGTCACAAGGAATGGCTGGAGGTAGAAAGCTGGTTTTCATTACTAGACTGGACTGGCCAGTCATATTTGCAGACTACTTTTCTAGACATAACAAAAAATGCACAGTGAACTATTTTAACACACAACCAGCAGTTTTCATCTTGAAAACATTCAAGAAAATGGTTCTTATCAGAAGTTCAAAAAATAATTAACGTTATTCAGTTTTGTAATTCAAATGCAAATATCTTGGTATAGACATGGTCCTTCCCAATACCTAAGATCATTTCTGGGATTTTATTCATTATTTTTAGTAGTTAAAATGTTTACCAAAATCTTGCATGATCATAGTGTGAGGCATTTTGGACTCCTGTGTTTGCAATCCAAGACTTCCACCACCTGGATCCATATTCAGCCAAATTCATTCACAAATAACTGTAATAAAACAAAAATGAGAATTTATGTTTAACAGTGTTCTTGTGTTGATCATCTTTACTGGACTGATGTGTTACAGTGACAAACACAGAGAAGTATTCACCCAAAATATTCAAGAAAACCGTCAGTAACACTTCACACAATTCACTTTACTATTTTGGTTTATATTTTTGACCTTAGAATAACAATAAATATTAGCAATTGTGCACAAAGCAGCTTCTGTTCTGTCCCTGTCTGTACAGACTCATTAACTAATTTTCAAGACTGGTGATGCTGGATGTGTGGAGCTACAGTGAAGAAAGTGGAGAATTGTATTGGGAGTATAAATTCTTCCAATTCTTTCAAAATTTGCATATATGAGAAACTTCCAAATCAATTTTAATGTACAAATTTAGTTGGGGGTGCCAAATCTCTTCGACAAGGCACAGCTACACAAAGTCACTCTCAGAGAAGGAGAAAGCATGCATCATTTGAGTGTTCCCATAAAACACAAGAGAGAAGCATAAAATCAGCATTCCAGCATTGCTACCAAACATTGGAGTGGGGATTCTGAATTATTTTCCAGTTTGCTGCAACCCAAAGGACTTTACCCAAGTTCTCAGTGCAGACAAAGTGACTCCACAGAAGCACCCAAAGAAAGAGCTCAAGGCTTTCACAGGTAAAAAAATCTCAAGCCTAAAAAATCTCTGCTGCATAAGACTAAAATCTTGCAATTTCCTGCCCTCTTGTATCCAAGAATCAGAAAAAGTGAGAGAATCAGGGAGCAAAGAAGAAGTTTTAGGAGTTGTGGGAAGTGAATGCAGCGTCAGAGCTCAGGATTAAGTGACCTGAGTGGGGCAGAGAGGAGCAGGGAGTACAAATCTTTCAAGGGTAACTCTCTAAAGTGTGCTGCTCTCCCCTTGTACCACCAACCTTGGTTTTGCACTCCTAGATCTCACAGAAGAAATTATCAGTACCTCACCACAAGAATTCATTAAATCTTTGCAGCTAAATCCAAACTATGAGGGAAACTCCAATTACTTTGTGGTAGAACAGATGAGACAACCCCACTGCAGTGAGTTCTACCTCAAGAACCAACACAACCAAGGTCGAGCCAAGCTGGAGGAACAAGTGCCCAAAATCTGAGACACCTCCAAGGCAGAATCAGGGGGCCCAGGATGAGCCAGGACCTGCCACAACTCCTGAGCTCCTCCAGCAAAGGTGCCCACGAATGGCAATTCCAAGGAAAAGCCACTGATCCACCCCAAGGAGGTCTGAATTCAAGAATACAAAAAAAGTCAAACATTATCCATGAGGAAGGTTGGCAAGGATTTTACTCATTCAATTCCACTCCAAAATCAAATTCTTTCAGCACTGTAAGGATAACAGAGCAGCTCCAGAACCTCAGTGCAATGCTCCATCACTCCCAAATTATCACCACAGCCATCCGAAATTCTCCCTGTAGCCAATGAATCCTTGCTAGTACAAAATATAATGCAGCTCTAGAGCATAAATAGCTCATTTAACTATTTCAGAATTAAGGCAATAATTAACATTTCCTGACCACAGCCTTTACATTCAGAGAACCCTTTTTTCAGAGTAAATGGATATGAAAAATTATCTTAATTTATATCAATCTGAGATCATAGGAGAATATGCCAGACTTTTTTTCCTTCTCAATAAGCAACTTATTTTCAGATTCAATATTAGATGCACATCTATATTATGTATGGTGGCAGACAGAAACATTTAATACTAAGTAGGACTGTAATTTGAATTTAAATTTCTGCAGAGAAAGCAAATTATCAGTAAAAGAGTATTTTCCTGCAGTTAACAGGACTAGAAAAAGAACCAAAGTTATGGGATGGCACCATAAACCTCCCCTAAAATCAGAGTTGGATGATGACACACAGGCAACAACCCCCCTGAAGCTGTACCAATCCTAGGAAGAATGTTCTTGTAAATCCTCACTGCAGACAAAGGATGGACTTGAATCAACCACACAATCACAAATTTATTTTTTATAGCAACGCTGGGATCTTCAAGGAATGCAGTGGCAGCAGGAAAAGCCCTTCCTGCTACTGCTGGAAGAATTAACCCTGGGAAAGGCCAGGGCTGCCCCCAGACCGGGTGGTTCTGCTCCCAGGTTGCAGCAGTGCAGAGGATGCAGTTTCACATGTCACATATGCAGGCAAATCTCGTTATTGGGAGCAGCAGAAAAATGCAGTGCAGTGATTAATTGTGGTTCTTCTGAGCTTCCTCCTGTAGTACACGGTGTAACACACCCACACCACCACAGACACATCCAATCATGGCTTTGGAAAGGGAGAATCAGGCAGAAAGCCACAATTCCACACCCTGTCACAATCCCAAACTTATCTGTTCCTCTTAACTTGTAATATCTCAAGTTTTTCCTCTCTATTCCCCTTTTCCTCCAGGTATTTAAAGACAGCAAAAATGTTTTATTAGCATCAGCCAATAAAATATTCACTTTACAATATTCCATTAATTTTTTCATTGATTTTTTTTTTAATTACAGCATGCTATCTTGGCTCAGGAAAGAGCACATTATCATCACATCCCAAAATGAAGTATTTCATGCAGCCTACACTGAGGCTCCCAGAGCAATGTCTCAAGACAAAATTTTTAAAATATGTCTGTATCTGGAATGGTTTTGCTTTTCTAAAAAATAACAGCTCTCTTTCTAATGAGCCTGAGGTTCATTTCAATCTATTTCAGCTCTTTATGCCAAAGCTCTTCCTTAGATGGGGCTTAGCTGAGACAAGCAATGAATTTTAGAATAGAAGGGATATCTGACCTCTCAGACTACAACTGTAAATTACTGCTGCACATGGCATTTTTTAAAATCAAGGGTAATGGTTGGCAGTTGGAATGACCTGAGGACACGTAACAGCAACACTCAGCTGAAAAACTGGTGGAAGTTCCCAGGATAGACACAGATCTGTTCTTAGCTTACTCTTCCTAAAGAAAGTATCACAAAATAACCAGGAATATTTTCATTTTAGACAGAGTTTAAGAAAACACTTCAAACGCAAAGATCTTCAGCAAAGCATTTTAAGGAGGAGGAATAACAAGCAATGCTTCAGCACTCCTACCCTTCCCAGGGAAAACAGAGTGTCATTGGTGTTCCCAGGGGGACAAGGAAACTCCCAATCCCTGTGCTGGCTTCCAAGCATTGTTGTCATATTTCAAACGTTTATAACATAAACATTTCTACAGAACACTAAACAACATGCCAATTACAGCTTAAATACATGCTCTTTATTTATGTAGCTTTAGGAATACATTTTGTGTGGTCCTGCAAATGCTAAGCATCTCCCCAATTTACATACACCTTTACTCCCAGTATGTTCAGGTGGTGTATTTTCACATGAAGCCTAATTGCATGGTCAGCCCTTAATCTCTCCTTTGAAAAAGCGAATTTCTTCCAAGTAATTTACATCTTGTTTACATGCTCTAAAGGAAAACACAACCATGCATTGCTGGCGCTTTGAATATTCACAAACCGCATATGAGATTTGCATTAAACCAAAAACGCCAGGCTCAGACACAGAGCAACGGAACAATAAATAAACTTCTACGCCGTTGGAAAATACGAACCAGATGCTGTGTAACCATTAAATGCCTTAACATTCAAGTGAAAACCAAAAAATTATCCTCGTCTGATGACACGGTTTTAATTTTTTCCGCCCCTAATTCTAATGCAGCAACTGACAGAAACGCAATGAGAAACGTCCTGCTTGCGCAAAAATCTTAATTAGAAAAGCCCAATTAATAAAATAACTGTGCGCAGGTTAACAGAGACCCTCGGCGGAGAACAGACCGGGTATAAAAAACCAGCATATCCATTTTAAAATCCTTTATTGTGTCCACCTAGGAAGCACCACAACAATTTATAATCTAAATCCATGCAAAACGCGACAGACAAAACCAGTAAACGAGATTTTGTCTCGCTGCCTGAAAGGCGTTAAAGGCTCTTAACACAAAATAATAAATAGAAAATTTTACATCTATTCGTTGCACCATTAAAACTTCCCGTAGTAAAAACCACGGGCAGAGGGGGCCGGCGGTGCCCGAGAGCCGGGGCTGCCGGTGCCCGCTGGTGCCCGCGGCTCCCGGCGCTTCCCGGCGGCTCCCGGCGCTTCCCTCCCTCCTTCCCTCCCTCCCTCCCGCGCGTGCCCGGCGCGGGCGCGCCCGCGGTGCCGCCGGGGCGGGGGGAGGCGGCGGAGGGAGCGCGGGGACAAAGGAGCGGGTGTCCCGCGGCGGTGCGGGCCGAGAGGCGGGGACAGCGCCGGGATAACGCCGTCCCGGCGGGAATAACCCGGTCCCGGCCGGGATAACGCCGTGCCACGGCCCCGAGCCGCGGCCTCCCCGCCCCGCACGGCCCGGCCGACATCTTGTGTTCCGCCATTTTCTGCCCGCCCGCGCGGCCTCTCCGCCGCCGGGCCCGCCCGCACCACCCGTCCGCCGCGGCACCGGCGGGCCCGGCCGGGGCTCCCCTGCCCGCCCGCCCAGGGGCGGCCGCGGCCCGCAGCGACCGCGGCGGCGGTGCCGGAGCGCGGCCTGCGCGGCTCCACCGTGCCCGTGCCCGTGCCCCGGCTCACCTGTGCAGGCCCGGGGTGCGCCGGGCCCGCGGGACGCGCCGGGGCCGGGCCGGGCCTGGGCCCGCTCCGCCCGCAGCCTGGGCCGGGCGGCGGCCGCGAGCGCGCGCGGCCCCGCTCCGCTCCCCCCGCACGTCACGCGCGCCCCCGCGCGCCGAGCAGGCGCAGCCGCCGCCGCCCCCTCAGACCCCCCCGCGCCCCCGGCACCGTGAGGGGACCGCGGGGGGAACCCCGCTCCCGCCCGGGGCACCGTGAGGAGACCGCGGGGAGACCCAGCTCCCGCCCGGGACACCGTGAAGGGACCGCGGGGAGACCCCGCTCCCGCCCGGGACACCGTGAAGGGACCGCGGGGGGACCCCGCTCCCGCCCCCGGCACCGTGAGGGGCAATGAGGGGAGTTCCCCCCTACACCCGTCCCTGTGGGCAGTGGAATGACCTAGTGAATAAAACACCATTTAAATAGCTCGGGCAACAGTTTCAGTTCTGTGGGTCTCTAATCAGCGTGAAAACCGCCTTACCTCGTTAAACGTGACAAGTAAATACAAAGTTGAACCAGTTTTTTAATGTATAAAAGTAGTTAGGATATAGACATGAACCTTCTCATAACGAGCATAGCAACTTGTCTCAGAAACTTTGCATTACTCTTTGTCATAAGATTCAGAGCCTGGTGTAGAAATTTGAGCAAAGGAGGACTTGAGCAATGCTTGGTGCCTGTTCCATGTCTTCTATTCCTTAAGGAGTAGAAAGGAAGAGGAATCCAAAGCCAGAGCTGTGTTTCCAAGTCAAGTGTAAAGGCAGAAGTGGATTCCTGGGCTCTCAGATGCTGAGAGGGGAGTGCAGTGGCCCTGTCTGGGGTTTAGAGGGCAGAGCCGCCGGGGTCTGGCAGTTGGGCCAACACAGGGTGGGTGACCCAAGGTGGACATCCTGAGATGGGGCATCCCCAGGTGACCCTGCTGACCACAGCTGGAGTGCTGTGTCCGGTTCTGGGCTCCTCAGGACCAGAGAGACGTGGAGCTTCTGTAATCCTCAAAAGATTCATCCTCCTGGACTTCATCCCCTTAGCAGAGAACTTGGAGACTTATATTTGCCTCTCCTTTTTTTGTTGTTTTTTAAAGAGTAAAGCCACATAACACAGCACATTCAGTAGGAAGGACATTCCAGTCATTTTGTCTAGCTCTAGCAAGAGACAGACATTCTTATGACAAAATAATTTCAAACTACCCAATGCAATAAAGGAATGAAGGGAAAATAGCTGGAAAAGGTAATGACAAAACTGAACACTGGGGGAAATGGTGAGAGAGACTCAGTTTAGCCAGCTCTGATCTTGCCAGCACCACGGATATTGACAGTCCTGCCTTATCTGTTCCTCCTACTCCTTTTTGGAGTAGGAGTTCCTTTGGTGGAACATCAAATTGAACACTCACAATGTGTGGTCACTCGAGGTTGGTACAACAGAGATGGATTGAGGTCAACAACCACCACAGTTTGTCAGATTGTGGCACCACCTGAGGCTGAGAAGTGACAGAAAAAGCAATTCACTGAAACAATTCTCTGACATCTTTGGATCGGAATTTCTGAGGTCAGAATGGTTTAAACTGATATTCTGGGCTCTAAACAGATGTGCTAACACTCTTTCTGTGTGTTTCTGAAGATAAGAGAGGGAACCAGACTCTCTTCTTTTATTTCTGACAGAATTTGCAGCAGTAGAAGTAAACCTAGTGAAATTTGCCCACTTTGCATTTTGGTTACATTGAGGGAAAACCAAATATCAAAAAACGCTTTCTAAAATCCTTAAGATTCTGGTTTTTTCATATAATTTCATGTATTACCTAATACTAAGGGAAATTATTTAACATAAATCACAATATAACATGCTTCAGACTTTTTGGAAATGGGAAATAAATCCCAGTCTTCAGTCTCTTTAATTTGTTACTTAGTGACTATAGCTTCATTTATTGTCCTCATTTACAAAAAAGTTACAAAGCAAGCCAGGGCAGTTTTAAAGGCAAACCATTCCAGCTGTTAGGATCAACACAGAAAGAAGACAAAAAAGACAAGAGACAGGGGAATGGGTCTGTAGGTATTTGATAAATATTGGGACAGAGAGAGGCCAAGTCCTTGGCTGTGTCACCACACTGCCAGGGCCAGACCCTTGTGCACTGCAGTATCAGGGGATTCACGTGAAGCTGTCACCAATTACACAGTAAATAAATTAGATGTTAATGTCATGTCATATCAGGTTTTCTTTTACAATTATCCTCAATACCTCCTCTTTGCAGTAACTTAGTGCTCTCTAGTAAGGATGGCAATTTCCTCTGTGTCCCACCAGGGCCTCACTGCTCTCTCAGCACCTGGATTGTTCAGTGATCAGCAGCATTCCAAGACATTTGATATAGGAAGCACTTGTTCTTAGTACCTCTGTAAAGAGACAAGAATTAAGTCAGTAGCATGACACACACTCCCCAGTATGTTTGCCATTAAAATAATTGGTATCTAATCAAACTACACTTTTATATATTTCTTTTCTTAGTATGTGCTGCTTCTGAGTGTGCACTCACTGAGAGCTTTGAAGACGACTTTCATGCAGATAACTGAAAGCATTACCAGTGTGTGCACACAAGCTGAGACAGCTTTGAAAATATTTAAAAACATTCAGCAGGGTCTGTAACATTCCTGAAGAAAACACCTGCACAGTGAAAGGTGGCTGTAGGCTTTCTCTTAGCTCACATCTTTACTTAGTAACAAATACTATCAATTTAGTGATGATTTGTATTCAGTACCAGATATGTATTCAGATGATATAATTAATATGCAGAGTATGTAATTAATATGCAGAGTATGTAATTAAAATGCAGAGGGATGTAATTGATACATACCCGGTACTGTCTTGCCTCTGGATAAACTGGCCAAGGCAAATCCTTCCTGGAAAAGTCAAACTCATCCCGCTGGGCACGGGACTGAGGGAAATAATCTGATGATGGATGTGCTGTTCTTAGAGGTTGATCATACATATGGCTATGCAAAAGAGAAAAAGGTTATTAAAACCTTATCATAAACTGCAAATTGCACAAAGGGTTAGTTTAAACTGAAATATAAAAATAAAGCTCACTACTTCATGTATGGCATTGAGACAGTAACATCCAAAAGGTCTTTTAAGTGCATTTTACTGTCAAGCCCTCATCCTGCAAACAGAGAAGACTGAATTTATAGAAGCAACATTCTCTTTAAGCTTTTATTTTCTTTTCACAATAAACAATGCCACAGTACCTAATTTTCTATATTCCTACAATTATTTTCAAAATGTTTTAAATTCACCACAGCTATACCTTCAACATTTTCAACATTTGTATTGAAAAAAAACCCAGACCTCCTTGAGGAACTGAAACATCAGCAAGCTCCAGTCCCTGTCTGCAGCAGAACCCTGCTACGTGTGAGGAGACTCTTGTGCTCTCACTGAGCTGCACCCTGGCAAACCAGTTCTCTGCAGAAGTTGCAGTAAGAGCTGCAGCAGTTGGCTGTGAGCTGAGGGGGATTCAAGTGAGGAAGCACAGGCAGGGAGCTGTGTTTCTACACACTAAGGAAATGAATGCCTCTGGGATTAGAGGAAAACCAGAGAAGCCTCCGGATAAAGCAGAATTTTAGGATTTGTATGTGAATAATCCAGTCAAAAGCTTTGCCATTTACTTTTGGATCTTTGTTGCTTGCTGTGCCATTGGCAAAGCTGCAAAGTCATTCTGAGTCTCCAAACCAGGGTATAATGTGCAAATGAGCACAAAAGACAGAAAATAGCAGCATACCTATAATTCCTCTTTTGATTTGGCATTGGAGCATCATTAAAATCTTGTATTTTCAGTACAACTTTTGGAATTTGTCCAACCCAGGCATCCTGTGTGTAGGGGTGCAGGTGCTTACACAGAGCAAAATGACAACAAATTAGAATAACCAGCTCTCCAGGTACAGTATGTTAGAAGGCATAAAACAATTTTTCACTTGTCTGGGCTACAACTTACAGTCTGGGGTGTGAGAAAGCCCTAAGTCTGCAGCCCTGGCCCAAAACGTTTCTTTTTACAAAGGGTTTTCTTCCCTACCAAACTGCAGGATTGGGTCTGATTCACACCTTGGGAACAACAGCATCAGCAGGAGCAAATTCCAAATTAGTTAAAAAATTGAACAGCACCATCTCCTGGTAAAGGCTGGCTCAGACCTGCTGCATTGCCAAGCCATTGATACTCTACAGATAAATTTAGCAGAAAATAATGTAGCAGACTAGATAATTTTCTCCCTTTTCTTAGACAGCCTTCAATATCTCCTTCTCACACACTGTGTGCTCCTTAATATGTAAAATAATCCCTTGGAGTACCAAATGAGGAAATGAACACACACACAAAAATATTCCCTTTCAGTGACTCTTTGTATTTTATATTGGTTTTTAATGGTATTTATCCATCTTTTCTCTTAATACACACTCAAGTTCAAGCCATGATTTCTACTACATCTTGCCTAATAGAGAAAATCGGCACAGCAGAGCATGATCTCTTTTTAAAGCTGCTTCTAACTGGACAAAAATGGGAATATTTGTTTGAACATCCTGTAAAAATAATCCCTAGTTCTTTGTTTTCTCCTAAACAAATGAGTTTCATTTAATCCTTCATGACGAGTTTCACTTTCTCTCAGCTGCTCTTGGAAATCAAATGCTAAGGACACTTTAAGCTCAAATTCCCAATTTTTTTTTGCTGTTCCCATCCCATTGTGCTGAATCACCAAGGCCTGGGGCTGTGCTGTGCCCCCTGTGCCATCTCTTACCCCGGCTGGCTGATGGTGCCCGTGCTCCAGGTCAGCAGCTGGCTCAGAACTGAATGCAGGGTTCTGCTGTGCTCCACTGGATGGAGGCTTTGGCTGCTTCCTGGGGGGGAACAATGGGAATTTATGGAGGCTTTGGCTGCTTCCTGGGGGGGAACAATGGGAATTTAGAGCATTAGCAATGGTGAGGGTCTTGACATGTTTTTTGTGCTGCAGATTAGTTCAACAGCCATGTCAGACCTTTAGATGTCTTGTGGCAATGGCTCTTGTGTACAAGAACTGGGTATTATTACAGCTTTTCTGTGTCAGAGCAAGCACCAGTGACACACTACTGGGGCTCAGTGACAGAAGAAAAAACCCATATTGTCTGTGTACTTGGGAGAGGTGTCACTGGGAAAAAGTGTTGAAAGCAAAAAGCAGCTCAAATTGCCAATATCTGAGACCTGAGAGTGGGAGGAATTGTGTTAAACACCAAGCCTCTTGTCAATGGTTATTGGTCTTAGTACTTTTTTCTTTAACCCATGGGAAAAAAGCCAGTCCTTAAGAGCAAATAAATCAGAAATACACCGTTGGTAGTGTTGAATTTAAGTAGTAAATGTACTTATCAATCTTTAAGGCCTGCCTGGTGAGCCCTAAAGAAAAGCAAAGTGAATTTCTGCATGTAGTGGTAAAATGCTGAGTAAGTGCTGAGTGCTCAGGTCAGATGCTTTGAGTTTGTTTTCAATTGTATAAATAGTATTTTGGCAGTATGGCAACCTTGTGCTTTTAAACATCCAGAGGTTAAAAATTAACCAGAATATCAGTCTCCTTTTGTTGCACTTCCATTTTGAGTACAAAACTTCTTATAAGTATACCCAGAGTCACTTACCTAGCGTTTTCCATTTTAAAGCAGTAGACAGTGCAAAATATTACAACCACTATGATAACCAGTGCCACTGCAGGAAGAGTAGCAACTAAAATGAAAGTCAGAGTATTCCAAAGGTGGTTACATCTGGGGCCCGTGTACCAGAACTCCTTCCAGCCTATTCTGTAGTACTTACATCTGCAAATAAAAATATTCACTTTTAGCAACGGAATTTTAATTCAAAAGTAAGCAATATCAAAATAGTATAATATTTTGCTATATAATTATTTAGTGTTCAACACTGCAGGGACCAAGAGATTCACTATTTTTCCTGTTGGTTTAAAGGTGTTTTTTAATCTTAGTTACACCCATCTGTTTTCAGATCTGATGCAAAAGTACTTCGCCAGGCTCTGAGTAACCAAGTCCAAGCTGGCATTTCAGGAGTCCAAGATAAGAAGCTTCGATGGGAACAGGGTGCAGTACCCAAGTCATGGCCTGGCTCAGGTCAAAGATCTCTTTGTCTGCTGTCAGCATGGCAAAGCTGCTGAGTGGAAGTGAAACCTCACATTTCTGGCTGTCATTATGATATTGATTTTTTAAAAGGAAAAAAAAAACCCAACTACATAATAGAGAATAAAAAATTCAGATATCTTTGTTTTTCTAACTCAAAAGAAAATTTGATCAACCCGAGGAAAAAAATGAACTTGCAATTACACAGCTAATTCAGTTCTAAAGTAAAATAGTTGAGAGAGCAGAGAGCATGTAAAAATTAAGGTTTACAGTGATTACTTACATTAGGAATTACATAGCCCACACATATTTTTCAAAAGAAAACACTATGCCCAGATCCCAGATTTGATGCTTTGTACCAGTCATAAACTTATGCAGATTGTGAATGAAGACCAACATTTATTTTCATAGATCACTTTGCAGCATCTAAGTTTAGTTCATCATTTAGAACACATTTGACATTTACACGGTGTATATTTAAACAAACAAACCAAGCCCACACGTTACCTGCAAAAAGGTTTTTCATTCATACACTGACAAGGAATACTTGTAGGACAGAAGTCATCTGTATTACCTAGACAGTCCCCAAAGTCTTCAACTCCAGTGCAGTTGGCTGTGAATTGAAACAAAACAAGTATTTATTGCAATTATACAGTAACATACTGTCAGTGGGCTGTGTTGCTAATTTCAGCAGAAATTTAAGCTTCCTATGTACTCTGCAGGTGATACTAAATCTTACTTTCCAGTGACTTGTCCCTTGAAAATTTTGAGGCTATTTAAGAAATGAAAATTTACCTGCTTAAATTACTTCACTCTGAACGTTTATGGCTTGTGTTGTTATGGTTTTTATCTCATCATTTTAAGTGTGGTTGTGTCTGAATTCCACTGTATATCATCTCTGGATTGTTGGCAAAGAGTAAAAGTCATGAGATTCATTAGAGATTCCAACCTTCCAATTATAGTCCGAATTAGAACCTCTTTGTATGTTTTGCATTGGGATTATTCCTTGGTTTAGCCTACAAAAGGTTCTACTTTGCTTTAATGTTGGTTCTCCTCTATCTCTTTTATTGTGTAAATACTGGGCTGTAAATTATGTTCCAGAATCTGAGTGTTTACAGTATTTCACAGGTATTTGGCTGGCTAAAAATAACTCCCTCAGCAGCCTGAATCAGCCATCAAACACCAGCATGTTTGGCACTCCAACCCTACATCCTCTGCTACCTGTTCCTCTCCTGCTCAGCACTCAGACCCAACGCCAGGCACCAACCTGAACACCCAAAAAAGCCTCCAGAGCCGAGTATAACTGTGCACAACTGCTCCCAGTGAGAGGATCCACGTTTGGAAGGAAACCAGAGTCAGAACTGGCCGAGATCTCTGAGCAGAGCCTTCCCAGCCCAGCAGGCAACTGCTGGAGCAGCTTTAATGTCATTGTTAGAGGGATTTTCCACCAGAACAAACTCCTGACTGATGCATTGTTAGCCAGAGGAAGTGTGCTGGGAGCAGTCTGCATTGCAAAAAAAGATGGGAGCCTCCTTTCTTTCCACTGTCCAAGTCCATCTAATCCAACATTTGCTGCTTGTGAGAGATAAATCTAAATGCTTGCAGTGACCAAGGCTTGTACCAGTCCATTCACACACACTGCATGCTCTCCTCTCAAGAGGGCATCAGCACTGAAACATTTCCCAAGAAAACCTAACTACAGGTCAGCATTTGGCATGGGGAGATAAGCAATGTTTTTAGCTACCTCTCTGATCAGTAACACAATTACAATTTTTTAGCAATGATACAAAAAATACTAAGGCAGCAGAAAATCACCAGTTGTGATTCTGCTGGGAGAGAGGGAGGTGTGTGCCCTCTGCTATTAATGCTCTAATATTCCATGTGATAAAGGAACTCACTGCTGAGCCCTTCAAAATAATGTGGTCTACAAAAATGCCAAGTTAGCCTTCAAGTGGTAACTTTTGTTTTTGCAAATGAAAGTTTAGCATAAAAAAATTCTTCAGATCACAAACCAAAACTCTTATTAGAAAAAGAATAACTGCAGTTGGTTTACACTACTATGAGCTTAGGGATACCCAATTACAAGTAACTGGTAGAGACTGCCTCACAATGATCCCAACGCAGCAGGACACCGAGTATCAGGTGGAATTTACATGGTTGTAACCTCTCCCCTGTGACACCAAACACAGGACAGCAGCTGTCTCACCAAGGTTTTCACATGTTTTGCTTTTTAAAATAACCCCAGCCTAAAGCATAAGGAGAATCCCCAAGCAGCAATCCCCCCCAGAGGGTCCCAGCAGCACTGCCCAGTGGGGTGGCCATGGCCACGTCCCTGCTCTGCCAACCACAAAGAATTCCAGCAGATCTTACGTTGTGAAGCTTCACTCAGCAAGGGGCTGGCCAGGACCAGGACACACAGCAGGACTTTCAGGAAGGACATCCTGAAGCCAGCTGGGGAAAAAGATCTTTTCTTCCAGACACTACCAGCAGCAGAATGAACTTCCCTTTCTGCTGCTGTGGATCGTGGATTTTGAGCCTGCTTTACAGCATCCTTCTCTATAAAGAATTACTAATTAACTTAAAACTGATACGACTTCCTGATAACTTACCCAGCATATTTTCCTTTGTGAAACCACATAGTTCCATAAAAATATCTCATTAATCTTACTATTTCTGAATTTTTGAAATCAGTTGTGAGGTATTCACTTAACAACTGAAATTTCAACACACTAAGGTACCTTCCAGGAACATTTAGACTTATGTTACCGTTTACAGATAACAAACTTGGACTGTATTTGCAGATAGTTTCTTTCAACAGACATTGTTTTTAAAGAGAAAGCCATGGTCCTGAAGCCATCTAAGAGGGAAGAGATGGAAAGGAGGGAATCTTGTAATTGGATGTATCTACCATTAGGTTTTGTTGATTAATTTTTCATTTTTCTGAGAAAAGAATAGAAAATACCCATCTGGCAAGGATGAGCGATGACAGAAACATCTCAGCACACCCCCTGTCATCTTGCTTCTTTATTATTTAAAGAGTCCTTAACAATTCTCAACATTCACTGCACAAGAAGATCCTGACTCTCTAACACTACCTAGGTTACACCCAAAGTTTGTGGAGTTTAACTGCATTGAAGCTGAAGTTAGCACAAACATTGTTCCTAGCACAGTGCTTTCAAAATTAATCCACAACTGATAAAATCCCAACGTGGATTTCCTAATTTGACAGGAGCTGGCTGCTTATGTAAACATGCCAAGCACAGTTACATTAACAGCAAAAGGTAAACTTTAACCTTTGCTTTTCAAAGGATAAATAATGATGTCTAAAATCAATGCCTAGTAAATTCTTGAAAGAATACTGCTTTGGCTGAAGTCCAACAGCACTTAGTATTACAGAAGTAGATAAGAGATTCTCAGTCCTGCCAGAAGATTGCTTTACAACAGACCACAACAAAGAAATTAATATTTACGTCCGTGAAAGAAATGGCATGATCCTTCTTCAGATGTAAGGCAGAAGTGTGAAGAAGCAGCTCCTGCAGATGCTCCATCCTTCTGGCTGCCAGGGAATTCCCCTCTGGCTCCAGCTCCCAGCAGCTCAGAGGGAGGGAGCCTCACCGTGGCAGCTAAACAAACACTTTTACCTGGGGCTGTCAGATTTGATTCAAGGATGCAGAACTGCAATGGGCAGTTTTTCCTTGGGTGAGATGTTTTAATGAGGCAGGTTATAAACGCCAAACTCTTGACTTTGCTACATCACTGGCATTTATTGGATGCAGTGGGTTTGGACCTGGCCTCAGGAAGGGCTGCAGTCGCTCTGTGAGTCGGTTTCTGTTTTCAGTGCCCACTTGGGTAACAGCAGATAAACCCAGTGCCAGCAGACCTGAACAGCTGAGAGCTTTGTATTCCCCAGCACAGCCATTTCCTCATCTTATTGTCTGAGTTTGTGGAACTCAGCAGAATCAAGTGCCAAGTTATGCATTCTGTAACAACATCCAGGCTCATTTAATTTCTTCTAAGAGAGAGATCTAAGTAAACCAAAGTTACTGACCAGAACTGATGGTGGAAGATGGACAGCTCATGATCTTTAATCTTAACTCATTTCAGCTCTGGCTCAAGGTGGCTGTGGAGACCAGTCTCTCCTCCAGCAGCATTGCAGGGGTCCTGAGAGTGACACAAACCGAGCACAAGCTACAGATTCCCCAAACACTGGTATGAGGACTGCTACAAACAGAGCCCGGAAAAGGTAACCAAGCCTTGAAACCCTGACTGGCTCAGTTGACACCCATTCCCTGGTCACAGCAGTGGAATTCCTTTCAGTTGTTGCAGCAAAATCCACCCCCTATGTCTGTACACCAAAGGACAAAGGACTAACTGCACCTTGAACAAGGGAGTTTGCCCACCCAGGGTTTCACTGGGGTTTGTTCTCTGGCTCTGGTCCACAACAAAAGCACATCAGGGCCAGGAAGAAAGACACACTGACTTCTAGAACGGCTTCAATCACAGCCTTCCTTGGCTGCAGCTTGCCATCAGCACACAGATGAGCTTGGCTTCTGGGAATCCTGCACTTTAAAATAAAACCCACACACAATCTAGTGCCTACTGATTGTCCTTTTTAAAAAGTATTGGCTTTGTAAGACCCCACTTTCCCTTTGGATTTAAAAATCTTTTCAGCATTTCACTGAAATACTCCAAACTTTCACTACAAGATAGCAACACTGCTGCATTCCAATCCCTTTCCAGTATTTCCCAAGCTGTTCAAGAATCCCAGTGACAATCTGCCATGAAAACCCCATTACTCATTCACATAATTTTCCTCCTTTCGAGTCATTCACTCTTTAGGTTACACCACAGATTACATAATTTATGACCCTTGCTTGGCAAATTACTTTATCTGGCACAGTCACACTGAGACAAACACATTTACCACCTGCTTCCTTCTTGAGCAGTGTCACTCCTCGTGCATGGATAAAAGCTTTAGTGTTTCCAAGTCCTGAACGAAACCATTCTTCAGAAAAAAATACCAAGAGAAGAAAATGGAAGCACTTCTCAAAATTGAGGCCACTGAGCTTTCATGTGTCCTGTTACTTCAGTGATTTCTTCCAGGAGTGTTTCAGTACTTCAGGGGTGAAGTTTTTCCCCCAACATTAATAAACCAAGTGTGACTTAGTCATTAGAAATGAACTCTTAAATTGAAAAGGAAGGAATTGACAATTTTCCTACAGATGAAAACAGACAAAAATTAAACTTACTTTTTAAAAATTATCTTATCACCCTTTATTTCCAGGTGCTTCACAGTGATATGACAAAATAAAGTATCACAATCAGTTTTATGCAAATAAAAAATTAATATCAACAAGTTCCAAATCTCTCTATATTGAATACAATCAACCATAAATTAAAAAACATGCATTAAATTAAGCTATTTCTGTATTATAAAATACCATGTGACCCCATTTTTTAAGACATTGAATTTTTCACAAATATATAACTTATATAAAAATTACAATATACATTCTTACTTTTATCCTGTTACTGTATTATTGCATTGTGAAATAAGCTGAAGTGACTCTTAAGGATACATTTGAGAGGCAATTCAGTGTTTCCCTAGAAATCAACAAAACCATGTCTAACAATAAAACTTTTCCCATGCTTAACTTTAATTTTTTGCTGTAACAGATTAGTCTGTTGGGTCTGAAATCTTCAAGAGCCCAAGTCAGGCACATGGTTACCCAGGACTCACGAGCATGGCATCATGCAGATCTGAATTTGCTTTTTTAAAGCCATTGCATAGCACCTTTACTAGAAATGACTAATTACAGACATGTGGCCACAGCTCCTTGCAGTCAGCTGTAAAGTATTATACAACCCCTGGAGGTTCAGGTGTCTGACCTGAAAGCAGAGAACACACCCAGCCAGAATACAAAACCTTCCCTCCTTTTCTCCCACTTTCTTTGGCTGCAGTTAGGGAAGGGTTGTCTTTAGCTGTACCTGTTTCACAACCAAAACCTTCTGATTTTAACTCTGCTGTGTGGGGGCAGTAAATAAAACCTGGTGATAAAAATGAAACCAACAGAAAACTACCCTGCCTTGAGGAGAATGAGAAACCTCAGCTGATGAAAAAACTAAATTAAAAAGTGACAGTAAAAGCAGCAGCAGCATCACCATTGACTGGTGTGTGTTGGAAGGGACCTTACAGCCCATTTTCTGCCACCCCTGCCACAGGCAGGGACACTTTGAACTATCCCAGGTTGCTCCAAGCCCCATCCAACCTGGCCCTGGACACTTGCAGGGATGGGGAGGCCACCTGGCAAACCCTGAGCTGGAATCATCTTGTGCTGCTCACTGCTGTCACCTACCAGAAAATGCCACAGCACAGGGACTCCATTGTGTGAGCTACAGAAGTGCTTCCCTCATCCTGCTGTTCATCAGTGGGCAGAACACCCATTTTATGTCCAGCAGATGTTTGACTCTGAGGTTTAGTTCTATCCCCACATTGCTCTAAGGAATAATTTGAGACTGAAATCCAGCCCAGGACAGCTTTGAGTGCCAGGGCCATGCACAGCATGAACAGGATCAGGGGCTGCAATGGAACACCTGACTGCTGCCTGCCCAACCAAAGAGCCAAAGGACATGTGCAGACCAGACACCCCCAGCTGTACCACCAGATCTGAGAGGAAATGCCCTCCCAACGTGGGAAGTCCCAGGGCAGTTTCTGGCACCAGGGAAGAGGCAGTGAGTGTCCCAAGGCCTGCTCTCCTGGGAAGGGCAGATGTGCTGCTTCCACACCAGCAATCCAAGGCAGCTTCTCTCCCTGCTCCCACCAGACCAATTCCTGGGCAGAGTTTTTCACGAAAAATCTCACCACAGTAAACTCCTGCAAAATCCAAGCAAATCTGTATCATCTTACCTTTCTTGTTGACTGGCTGTGGTAGCATATCACTCAAAGTTAGAATTTAACAATTTAGGAGTAGAGCAGATGGCTTTCCCTTTATGTTTTTATCCAGAATGTTATCGAAAGGAGACAGATAATACAATTTCTGGCATCCAGTCATGCACTTAAAAATGATAATTTCTTCACAATTTTCACTTATGTCTTCATCTGTTTCCCTGGAAATGGTATATGAAGCCCAGCCATCTAATTTTTCTACTCCTCTCTCTGTGATGAAACACTAAATGTGTCATGTCCAGGAGCTCTCTGAAGATTGATTTAATATCCTCTGATTGCTGCCTGAATTCTGACAGTAGCCTGGGCCTTTAAGAGATGATTAAAGAAACAAAACACATTAAATCCTGTCAGCTGTCCCAGACAAGTTTAACTAATAGAATTCTTCTTTTAAACTTCACATTTTCTGACCACACCTTGCGCTCAACTCTGTGTAACAAAGACCAACACTTCACCTGAAATTTAGATTTGAAAATATCAATTTGTTTCTGACCCATCCTAAAAGCTTTTCTTCTTTTGCTCACTCACTATTTGTGCCCTCTGCACATTCCATGCTGCAGCACATCCTCACAACTTTGCTGATCCCACAGGGACACCAGGAATTCTGCCTGTATTTCACTGGCCATGCCTTT